TAAGTACTCAAAAGAAAAAAATCTTTACCTTCCAAATCCAGTTTATAAAAACTGGGAAAGGTATTTAATCATTCATATGCACACATACCACCATAAGTATAATGTGCAACCACTGTTAATGCTACTATTTTATCATGTGACTACAACACCTAAGCAGAAATGTTTGGCAAGAACATGACAAGATCCACTCAAATTAGAAAGGAAAAACTAAAAATAACACTGTTTACAGATGACATTATCTTATAGATCAAAAACCATAAAGAAGAAAGGAAGAAAGCTTTAAAAGTAATAAAGCCTCTCAGTTAAGTCACAGTATGTAAAATTTACATACAGATATAAGTTGTTTTTCTATACAGTAATAAAGTAGACAATGAAAAAGGAAAACACTCTCATTTACAATACCATCAAGAAAATAGATGTCTAAGAAATAAATTTAACTAAAGTGGTTAAAAAACCCTTTACCCTGAGTACTATAAGATATTAATAAAAGAAATTGAAGATGGCATGAGTGAATAGAATGATATTATCCAAAACAATGTATACATTCAATGCACTCCCTATCAAAATTCCAGGGGCATTACTTGACAGTATTAACCAAAAACTTCTAATATTTGTATGATCTCACAAACACCATTGATGAGCCCTATACAATAATGAGAAAGAATAAAAAAGGTTCCAGCATCGCACTTTCTGATTTCAAACTAAATTTTAAGGTGGGAGTAATGAAAACAGCAAAATATTCACATGAATCCAACAAAAATAACAATGGAAGAGAATGGAGACCTCAGAAATAAACCGAAACATATAAGGTCAAGTAACATTTATCTAGGCACTAGCAATGCACAATGCAGAAAGTATGGCTCTTCAGTGCTTGGTGCTAGAAAACTGGATACCCAAAAACAAATGAAAAAAAGCAGACTATTTTTTCTTCTATGATACCAAAAACTAACTCCAGATGTAACAAAGATTTAAATGGAATACATAAAACTCTAACATTTCTAAAAAATAGTATAAAGAAAACAAGAAATATGGGAAAACCTTGACATAAGACTTGCAATTTTTTTTTGATATGAAACAATGTGCACTGGAACAAAATTGGAAAAATTTGGGCTGCATCAAACTTAAAATCCTCTGTACAGCAAGGGAAAAAAATAAGAAAACATATAGGATGGGAGAAAGTATTTTCAAAGTTTATATTGTATAATATGTCAATACCCAAAATATATAGGAAACTCATATTTTTCAAATGCAAAACAATATCATCACCCACTTAAATATAAGCAAAAGTTTATGTAGATTATTTTCAAAGAAAACATACCAGTTTACAACAGGAAACACGAAGAGTAACTCAGCATCACCAAAACATCATGTAAACACAAATGAAAACTATGATAAGGTATCACCTCACAACTGTTAAAATGGCTAATTTCCAAAACAAGAGAAATAATAAGTGTGGACAAAAGTGTGTAGGAAAGCAATCCCTGTACACTGTTATTGATTATAAATGGACAGTGTCATCATAGAGATTTGTTAAAAAATGTAAATAATACAACTGCCTTGTCATTCACCAATTCTACCTATGAGTATAACCATGTAAAATCAGTATCTTAAGAAGATTCTGCACCCCCATATATATCGCAGCATTATGAACATTTGCCAAGAAAATGGAAACGAATTAAATACCTGCTTATGATGAATAGACTAAAACATGACTGTACAAACACATACCATATACTATTAGTAAGCCATGAAAATGATAAATATCCTGCCATTTCAACAACATGGATGGACGTAGTAGGCATTATGCTAAGTAAAATCAGCCATTCCCAGAAAGATAAATACTGCTATGGATAATTATTTTTAAAAAGTTGAATTTACAAAAATAAAGAGTACAACAGTGGTTTCCAGGGTATAGAGTCAGAAAAAAATGAGATGTTTAAGGGTAAAATCTTTTAGTTATAAGATGAATAGATCTTGGAGATCTATTGTATGGCAACATGATTAGAGTTATTAATAATGTATATGCTTAAAATTTGTTAAGACCATAGACCTCACTATTAATAAATGTTCTCACTATAATTAAATGGTAAATATGTGAGATGATGGAACAGTTTATTACCTTAATTATATTGTTTTACTATATATACACACATCAGATCACTACAGTGTGTACAATAAATATATACAGTTATACAATTCTTAATTTTGGAAACTTCCACCCATTAAACACCCCCCACACAGAAATATATGCACACATACACACATATGAATGGCACAATTCTGATGCTACTAAACAGGGGGAAATTATGGAATATAAGTTATCAAAATATTGTGAATCAATTGGGAGTATAAATATATTCATGGATGTGAAGCACTGAATGAGACAGTATATTTAGGAATTCTATAAGGTGAGCGTGCAAAATAAACTATATTATAATTTTGGCATTTGGCTATAATAAAGTTGAAAATTTACTCTTATTTATCTAGAAAAAGAATATTTAGAAGTGAAATAACATTAGATTTTCTTACATTTAGGCAGAGGCTATGCATTTGTACAAAGTTAGTGAGCCTCACTTTCTGTAGAATTGCCTCTGAAAACTTAGAATTAGAAATCATGATGCATAAAATATGACTATCTGTCCCTAGGGTTTCTGGTATTACAGAAACAAATCCAAATATCTCCACTGTTCCCCTTTACACATTTCAGAAATGACACATCAAAAGGAACTTAAAACATGGAGCTGGGCATGGAGGATCACACCTATAATCCCACCACTTGGAGGCCAAGCAAGAAGGATCACTTGAGGCCAGGATTTTATACCAGCCCTAGGAACATAAGGAGATTCCATTTTTACCAGATAATAATAATAATGAAAATAATGGCTGGCCATGGTAGCTCATGCCCATAGTTCTAGCTGCTTGGAAGACAGAGGTTTTAGGATCCCTGAAGCCCAGTTGTTTGAGTTTGCAGTGAGCTATGATCAGCCACTGTACTCAAGAAATGGCAGGAGAGCAAAACCCTGTCAAAAGATGGTTTAATGTCATGGTATTCAAAATATGCACAGATAGTCCCATAACTCCTAAACAATACAAATGCTGATAGATAATGTAGTCCCTTATAAGCCATCAAAAGAAGTATGGATCTCACTGACTTCTAAGGATAATCACTTCATGGGTAGAATTCTTAGAGAGTTTAAGAGCCTGGGACAAAAGATGTCCTTCTGGAAGATAAAGAGCAACATACACAGGCTTCTAAAAATCATTTCCAACTGAACAGAATATTCCAAGCCACTTTTTAATATCTGCCTTCCTCTTTGAGCTTTACCTCTCTAACATTTGTTATGTGCTTCACTGAATGTCACCTACCTGGATATTTAACTGTTGTTTCCTCTTTTTTCATAATCCATGGCTCTATCCTTTGCTCTAGACATGTGATCAGCTCTGGCTTTGAGACAGCAAGACCTGTTTCATTAGAAAAATTTCACATGACTCTTACTGAAGACTTTCCAATTACTAATGCAGTGCTATCGTTAGTAGACACAACATTACAGAAGATTCTATAAAATTCCTTTGCAACATATTGTTTTCTCACAGACCCTGTAGAATGATAAAAAATTATTTCTAATTTATGACTAGAGCACCAATTCCCACTAGCACCAAATAAATAAGAGGTGGAAATTCTATTCTAAGGTGCAGGCAACAATTATATACCCTGATTTCTAGAGTAACCACTAATCTAGTTGAAATATACATATTGGCCCAAGAAAGGGAAAGGTGCAAGATAACATGAGACACCTAATAATTTTATTTTACAGAACAACAATCCTCAAAGTTTCTGTAAAAGCATGGATAAGAAATTCATTCATGTAAAGTAGAAACTTTTAAGAAAGTATCTACAAAAATAAAATAATGACCTTAATGTGTAATAGGAATTTGGTATATATGTGTTCCTCACCAAGGGAGACCAGGTTTCGGTAGTTCTCCAACATCACCTCCCTATACAAATTCTGCTGAGCATCGTCAAGGCATGCCCACTCCTCTGGAGAGAATTCTACAGCCACATCCCTGAATGTCACCATCTCCTGTAAAAAGACACATATTTCCCAAGTGGCCATAGAGAGAGTTATTCACTTGACTACAAGGAAAATGAGTTATGAGAACAGTTTCTGACATATGAGTGACTGGAATTAGCCAATAAGATAATTTTTAGCACATTGATATTATTGAACACATTCTCTTATATGCTGGAATGAATATCACAAAAGATGTATGAAACTGTGTGCAAATGATTCTGCCTTGGGTGATAAAGTATTTAATACAAAATTAAGGACCTTACAATAGTAATAAAAATTTATTGGTGTTATATTTACATCATGTCAATAAATTGTGCATATTTCTTCTATTGAAAAACATAGTCAGTTAGAGGGTGTCACCTAATTTTTACGAGTACAATAAAGAAATGGAGATATTGCTAAAATACAGATTCTGATTCAGGAGATTTGGGGTGGGGTCCAAATCTCTGCATGTCACATAATATAATTGCTGATAACAATGCTTCTTGCCTAAGGAGAGTATTTTGTCAACATCCCATAAATGGTAGAATTTGAATTAATCTCAGTTCATCTAAACAGAACACAGATGACAGCCCTCATTTTTCAAAGCAAGGTATAAGAAGAAAGGGGAGCTTCCAGATTAAATGTGATGGTTCATTCACAACTGTCAGTAAATCTCCACGAGACACTTAATGATAAAGAAAAAAAACCAATTAACTTTATATTGGATGAATCTGTCAGAGAGCATCTTAAGCAAGTGAATGAAATTAACATAACTTTAATGGGACAAATTGGTGTTAGGCACCCATGAAAAGAGAAGGACACAAAATCACTGATGGCATGATAGTGGACACTCATATGCAATCATGAGGAATCATCAGTTTTATGAAAATTTCAGATACTTCTCAGGTTTTGTTATCTTTAATAATGTATGTAAATACTTTAGCATCATACAGAACAAGTCTTCTATTCTCTCTTTTTTCCATGATTTTCTGAATATCCTAGGCAATCAATGCTATACTCTTCTTGAATTGTCCTAACAATATTTTATGTAGAGCTGATGAAGCATACAGATCAAACTTTGAGAGTATATGTTCCCCCTCTTCACTCAAATTCCAAGACGATATCCAATCTCCAACAGGAATGTCAGATATCGACATTATTCTATCTTCATCTGTCACAATGGGAACATTTTCAATCATGTCATACATTTCTTATACAAATTTGCTACTGTAGTAAGAAGCTTATGGGAGAAAATGTAGAGCAGACTCTGTTACATACGGAGGATTGATTTTCCAGAGCTCCTTGACTATCATAAGAAGAAATAAAAAAATGTAGTTGCAAAACTTATTAGGCATACACATCAGAAGTAAAGGTTTACAAGTTCAAAAAATTGAAGTTCTACATGACTTTCTAGGAGAAACAGTGGACACAACCTCAATCTGGGACACACTTACCTGAAAACCAGCCATTTCTTCCTCCTCATCTCCTACTCTGAAACTTATTTTCACGTGATATTGTGTAGAACAATTAGAATTAAATCTTGAGACTTCTCTGAAAGGAGTCAGCACAATTTCTTCCCTTGTTTCCACAATATTCACAAGCAGGAGGAACATAAAATGCAGAAGAGCTACACTCACTTTTTCTTACTCACAGTAAAGAGTCAGCTATAATCAGCTAATTCATGGAGACCAAAATGGGAGGTTCTACTGTCTTTTCTTCCGGTTACCTCCCCCTGCTACAGGTGCCAGGAGTTTCTGCAACAGGAGTGGGAATATGGACCACACTGATCTGCCTCTACCAAACTCAATAGAGCAGAAACTGTGACTTCTTTCTTGAACAAAGGCTCAACTCAATTCTCATGAATGTATGCGTGAGTCCTAATGATTGACCCTATTATCAAATTAGAATTATTTGGGGCACAATTAAAACCACATGGGTATTCCCATCAAGCCCAACAGGCAGGTGATGGTGTTTCTTCAATCTAGCCAGGTTATCCTAATTGAAAGCCTGGGCTGAGAGGAAATTACCTTAAAATTGTCTCTGAAACATCAGTGTGAATGTCAACCATATGGTACTGTGGGCCTCACTCTAAGAAATGTGGTCAGCTGGTGTGGAAGGGGTACATTAATTGGGTTCTTTGTCAGGTTCCCTTTTTAGTGCTGCTGTTGGTCATCCTAGATCCATTATTAGTAGCACTCAGGTAGAGATAGCAAGCACAGCATACAAACTGCCTTTTGCCCAACACTCATCACAATGGATACTTAATTTCCAAAGTGAAGAGCAGCATAATGCAATGTCTACTGGGCATGTGCTATGTGCTCAGAAGTATGGTTTGTTGCACTGTGAAGAAGCCTTTACATTGTGTGATGTAATCCTTATTATACCAGAAAAGGTGAGTAGTAAGTGTCCAATAATTTACAGAAAATTTTAGATGTGGTGCCAGCCTTTCTATTCTTCTCACTCAAGTATAATACAAGATGACACAAGATCCAGAAAATTGTCTACACTCACCCTAAAAAGGTCTTTTCCAGCTCGACTTACAAGTCCATGCTGATCTCTTACACTGCAGCATATGTCTCCCCTGAGATTTTTGTACATCCTTAGTCCAAAGTATGTCCCTGTCTTGCGAATTCCAGGTTGAGGCCATGTCTAGTTTGGATGGAACTTCTGTATTCTTTGCTTTGACAGAGAGGGAAGGAAAACAGGAAGAGAAATTCCTCCTTGGGACATGCTCTAATGCTTTCTGAGGAACCTCAGACTTTGGATTCTGAATTCAGAGCTGCAGATTTAGGTCTCTAGAGAGGCCTGGATTGAGTAGAACTCACTGCACATTTCCTGGCATTTGGACAAGAAGAGAAGGCAGAAAGGGAGTTTATGCGTTGCACACAGTGCACATAATCTTGTTCCCATTTGTGTCTGAGCCCCATGGTCTCTGACTCCATTTCAGTTTTAAAGATGTGAGATACATTTATAGAAAGGATAGTACAACTGATTATTATCCTATGAGAGTGTATTCAAGGGAATCTGCTCTAAGTATGCTCTGGAGGGACAGTAGACACCAAAGAGGCCTAGAGAACTTACTGTGTGCAGATGTGGGACAGTGAAGCTCTGTGCTGCAGAGTTGCAGGTTACAGACTGGAAGCTCAAGAAGGAATCTGGTGTTCAAAGCCCTACTAATTTAGAAGTGGTGGGCACATTTTATGTTTATGTTGCATTTTTAATTCTGGAAAGTGTTCAGGAAATATTAAAAGAGACTCCAACTAAGAAAACCTCTACACAAAGTTAGAAGAAAATTAAAAGAAAACCCTTTTATTACTCAATTAAATCAGAATGTGATGTGCACAGTGCGAATCCACTGAGAGATTTCAAAGTAACACATAAAGTTATTATTGTACATAACTAAGCAAATCCTAACTTTTACATACATGTTATCTAGATAAATAATAATTTGCTTTGAAGAAAGAAGAAAGAAGACTAAACAGTCCTATTTTGTAATAAAGAGTGCATTGTATACTTACTTGGTAATTAGTGAGACTCTTTTTATGGTTATTGGTTAAATTCAAATAAAATACAAGTGTCTCAAATCAATGCAGGAGGAGATAATTTGGCAACTTAAAGCTAGGTGCTCTCTGAAGTTAGGATCCCATCTTATTGAAATTGTGGGATAGGAAACTATCTTCCTGGATATATCATTTCAAAGAGATGTTTCTCAGTTTCAGAAAAATATTCTTAAAAAACCTTTTTTTAAAAATCTTTCAAAAGGATATTCAAATCTTAGGCAGATACTTAGGATCTCTGGTTCTTTTGGGGACAATGGTGCCCCGTTTTGGTGCTGTTTCCAGCAATTGCTCCACCTGGAGAGATGGATAAGGCTGCCATTCCATTTTTGTTCTGCTCCACCCTTCATTCTCCCCTGAGCCACTTCTATACCTGAGGAATGAGGGAATGCTTTATCAATCTAGCCTTTTCCCAGCCAAGGCATAATAAGATTTACAAAGTGACCTAGGGTATCCTAAGTGTAATTAATAAGTCATTAGCTTTCATCTGCATTGCAGTTCACCTTTCTCCATGGCCATTCTTAGAAAGAGCTCCTATAGTGTGATGAAATTTTCAGGACACCAGTTGATTATTTGATAATAATCTACACTTCTGAAGATATGAATTCTGATGAAATAAAATTAATGAGGATGTTACAATTTTAAAGTAAAATAATAAAAAACACCCAGGAGCCTGTCATTACATGAGTGGATTATTAATATTTGGTATATGTTTACAATGAAATATTATTCAATTTACAAAATGACAGGGAGCTAGCACTGCTTATATTTTCCTGAATTGAGTGAGCCCATTATGCAAAGTGAAGTGACACAAGCTCAGAAGACTGGCTCCACATGTACTAGCCATCAAATTGGTACTAATTGATTAACAGTATGGTGATCAAATGGTGGTGGTGTTCATCAGGGACTCAGGAGTTTGGAGTAAGACCCACATCTGAGGGATGCCTTGATCACCATGGAGAAGAAGGGCATAACTCTAAACCTTGCTAGGGAGAGGCAAAGATATAAATTGTGACTAAAATGTTTGTACTCTGTTATTTTCTTGTAATAAAAAAATGAATATAAAAATCATACATCTTTCCTAAACTTTATAAAAATACCAAATATTGAGTCACAAAGCAAATATAAAAGTCAATCAAGTATGATTTCAAAGTAACTTAAGCAAAAAAGTCAAGTTTATTTGAAAATTATCAATGTATCAATAAAGTTTGATTTAGTAATCTCATGCCACGAAGTTAGGGTTAGGGTGATTTTAGGGAAAATTTAAAATTTAGGAAAAATTATACATTAAAAAATACAAATTATTACCTTGTCTACAATAGTAATATTAGAATATTACTACATTTTAATAGTGATAATTATGTAAGGATACCATGTTTCGTCTATTTAGAGGTCTTTGAATTTTAAAAAATGCACAAACTGATACTTTGTACCCTTTGTTTTTCTCTTTCCCCATCCCACTCTCTGTGGTAACCACACTTCCCAGTATGGGATCACCTTTCTTTAGATTCCACAGATAAGTGAGATCATACTGTATTT